CCCCAACCCCCCCGTTACTGTTGAGAAATGCCCTTCCTGCCTGTAGGGAGGTCCTGAATTAATTTTTCTGTAGATAGTGAAGTTATTTACCTAATTATTTTTAAACTGGTTTTTTGAAATGCTTGTTTGCTGATCTTGCAACAGCTGGTCACTGAAGACTCCTAGGCAATCTTTACTGACATGTTTGAGTGATATATCATAACTCTGTGGGTGCAACAGTTCATATTGTCCTGTAATTTTCACATGTATCTTTGATTTTTTTTTTTCAAAAAACCAAGAATTAATAAAAATCAACCATGTCTTACAGTCTTATAAACTAAAATAGGTTATTTATCTGTAAGAGTTCACAATGGCATCCAAAGTTTGTATAGCAAAGCTGAATTTTAAAATTACATGACACCGTGCATATCATTCTAATCACAGCTTCTGTGATATTTTCTTTTTGTGTATTGAAATACCATTTAAAGCAATCTGTATTGCAGATATTAAAGTTCATTTGTATACATGAAAAATATAAAAATAAATAATGTGTCCATTGTTCTGTGGCTAGACTATCTTTTAAGGGTCAGTTCTTGAAGAAGTCAATTCGAGTAAAAATACTGTGTTTTAACGGTCTTCCTTTTTTTTTTTCTCTCTGTATCCTTTGTTGGATTTTGTCCTTATGCTCCCCTGTACATGGCTTTTTGAAATACGGGGTTTGCTTTGCTTCGCCCATTTCTGTTCCTTATACTGTGTTTATTGTAGATGCAACTTAGCCGAGCTGCTTGAAATAAATCCCAGGAGTGTTTTTACGTAATCAGTAAAGATACTATGAACATCGTCAATAGCCAGTTAATGATGTTGATGACTTTGTAGTAGGGAAGTAGTGCCATAAAAGCAAAAGGCAAGTCTGAGCTCTGCTTTCTTCATCACTTTGAAGGAGTGGAGGAGTTGTCGCTGATGTCTTGATAGTCTGTCTCTTTTTCTTGGTTGCTATCCGTGCTGGTATCAAGAAAGAAAATCTTTGTGAGCAAAAGTCACTCATGGGTTTGGGAGCTCAGTTTGCTCAGCTTATCTTTCTTGAGACTCTGTGCCTTGATTAGGCACCAGCTAACGAGGAAGGTGGTAGAGGGGGGAAGAAACAGATATTTGATCTTTCCATTCTTGTGATAGTGCAGAAGTAGTTACTAGAAGCTAAAGTAACTTCCATTATTGTATCATTAAAGTAGGTAGGGATACAGTGTTCTTTATCTGTTACCATAGTAATAGAAATAGCTGCTTATTTTAAAATGGTAGAATATTTTTCAAGATATTACCAGATACTTGCTTTTTCTTAACTGTTGACTTACGTTTGGGTGTGTTGTATATTAATTGTTTAATGTGGGTAGAAAGAAAAACAGCTTAGTTTTGAGGAATGTGGGAGAGAAGATTCCTGTATTCTGTAATGAAGCATTTGAAAGCCACATGGAATTATTTTTTTTCTTCCTTAGCTGCTCTTTACTGTACTGTAGTACTGAAGATACCTCAATAATAGTTCTTAAATTAAAGGCAACAGTATCAGGAATGGAAGGTACTTTTCATCAGGTTAATTCTGAGGCACAGAAATGAATCTTGTTTTGCTGTCATTTTTTGCCTTTCTATTGATTTTGTTAAAGATACTGTGGAAAAGCAAGCATTGTGATCTGATGCTTATCTAGCAACTGGCCTCTTTAGTTGGGGTTGTGTGTTTCTGGGAGGAAGGGTTAGGAGAGGGGAAGGAGAACTCTCTGGTGTTCTGTTTTTGAACATACTGTCATTAACATCTTTACAAAAGCATATTCTGCTCACCTCCCATCACCTTGGCAATATTTGATTAAAATGAAAGGTGTGTAATAATTGTCTGGTCTTAGCAGACTGGCAGTATACTAAGTCAGTTATTAGGTGCTTAGCAGAGACTGGTTTTGCACAATGCAACAGAATTTGTCAGATTTTTCTCTCTTAGACTGTGCTGTGCACATTCTGAACTATCTGTTTTACTCTTCAGGTGAAGTCAGCTACTTGAACGTCTATTACATAATCTTGCTAGATTCTTGGGGGTTTAATATTTGCAGAATAAGAACCATAGATTAATCATGTACTTAGTTGGGGCAACAGAGATCATTTTACAGAAATTTACTTCAAAGCAAATTGGAGAGAAATTTGTTTATTCAATAAAATAATATTTTTATTACAGATTTTGGACCAACCATGATGAACGCTTTTTATACATGTTAATGGAATATGTGCCAGGAGGAGAACTTTTTAGTTACCTGCGCAACATGGGGCGTTTCAACAACAGCACAGGACTGTTTTACTCAACAGAAATTATTTGTGCAATAGAATATCTGCACTCCAAAGAAATTGTTTACAGAGACTTAAAACCTGAAAATATATTACTAGACAAAGAAGGACATATCAAACTTACTGACTTTGGATTTGCTAAAAAGCTGGTGGATAGGTAAGTGAGTTTTTGTTATGGTTTAACATGTGAAATTTAATCACAGTTGGAAGAAAAGAAGTTTTATTTCAGAGCTCAGGATTACACCTAATATTGTGTGTGGTTCACACATGTCAAATCCCTTAATATGAAGGAGTTGATCATCTTAAAAAGGCTGCATGGAAACTGATATTACACCCTAGGTATAACTAGGAGCAATATCACAGATAAGCTACCATAGAAAACCTTCATACAAGCTGAATTGCGAAGTGTTTTTTCACTACTGTTTCCTCCTCCTTTCCATTTAGAGATATCTTGGGAATGTGAGAACAAGATTTTATAAGGGGATAGTGTGTTTTCAGTAGCCTATTGCTAAAAGGAAACTGCAGAATTTTTACAGAAACAATAAGACCAGCTTCAGCAGAAGTATTTATTTAACTGTAACTTCTGCAGTAGTGTCAGCCTTATGTCTGTTTTACTAGTGTATGTACTTTGGGATGATGCAGAGGTGTTTCCCCCAGTGATTTCTTTGTTCTGTCCGTTTGAACTAGCTTTCCAAGATTATAATACATGTTCTTAAAAGGAAGGAAGAGCTGTCATTGAGATTGAAAATAAGGGAGGAAAAAACTAGTCTGTCATATTAGAAAAGCGGTCTTACAAGGTATGGTATTATGCCCTTGGGCCACCTCTTGAGGGAGACTGTATCTGATTGTTCTGGTTGAGGTAGCCTAGCAAGTGAGTTAGGTGTTACATAGATGCTCCCCCTCTTCACTCATCTGTTTTACCTGTTTGATGCTGCTCTTGCAACAGTTTGGGGGTGGGGGCAGAGTTCTACAAGATCAATTTTAAATGAAGGTGGATCTGAGGGATCTACTCTTAATGGATCCCTTACAAAGTAAAAGTCAGATGGGACAGATCAAGTCATGCTATGGCAATCATAAAGGATGCTTCCCTACGTGTTACAGGCTCACAGTGCTGGGTTGCCTTGGCGCAGAAGAATGGTAGCCAACTGAGAAGTACACTGGTTCTATTCACCCATAAGGTCTAAAAGTCAGTTTTTAAACCATAGTGGTTTAATATCACTGCTTGATTGAGTTCAGTTTCCACTGGGCAAACAGATAGTTCTACAAATGTTGGATTTTTTTTTTTTTAATATTTTGTTTTTACATCAAAGTAACTTTTTGCTGGAAAAGGTAAGGGTACTTCCATGTAAAATAGTAGGATGATCTCTTTATAATATATTTTCATACAAATTGTTACGACTTCCTTTTTACATGTAGATACTGCCACTTAGTGGTTATTCTTAATTTGGATTTCTGTGGGTTTATTGCGTAGCAGAAGTAACCCTTCATTAAATAAGGTGATAGTTCACATCGAAGTATATTTTTCAGTTTGGAAGATGAATCTATAAGAGTTATTTGTTCAAATATATTGTAAGACATAGAAGTAAGTTATCACTACTGTTTTCATTTGTTTTTTTGCGTTGTGTCTTGCTGGGGGTGGGAAGAGGTACGGGGTGTGGAATTATTAGTAAAATTAAGGTTTACATCTGAAAATTAAGGTGAAACGTTTGGGTAGGATCGGAGGGCTTTTCACCAGTTAGGGTAGCCCAGCCCATTTGACACTCGTACTTGTCTGTTTCCTGTACATGTTCATTCCAGGTGGGTATATGGCCACGCTGACCCTGACCGCGGTTAGGGCTCTCACGAATCTCCCATATGGCACTTAGCCTCCCACTCCGGTGAGGAGAGTTAGAAAGTAAGGGGATTTATTTTCTGCCAAATTACTCCATCCCTTATTACACAACACAGGGGGGTGAAGTTGATCAATTTGTGTTGAACTAAATCATGGAATACTATAGTACTTTTATATTAGTGCCTGCTTTACCTACAAGCATACAACAAGTAATATAAAATGCAGAACAAAAAGTTGGGAGGAGTGACGACTTTATCAGTTAGAGCATGGTAGTTACCTATCCTCCTCCTCCTGGCTATATATGTGTAGTATTCACCCTACTAGCTGTAGTCATTTTCATAATGCTGTTTTGTCACTGTAAAAATACACAGTTGTCAGCAGTTTGCTCACTAATGCACTCCAGTAGGTTATTTTGTTTCATAGGCTATTTGACCTAAAGCATAGGAGATGTTTTGTCATTTTTATGCATGGCAAACATCTATACACATGAACATTACACTTGTGTATGTGTATATATCTATACTTTTATATAGTGCATATGGATTGTGAAAGTAAAACACAAAGTATATATGTTTTTCAAACAGTGGTGAGGAGGCATACCACTTAGTACCAACAGATGTTTTCCTAGAGAAACATGACGTGAAATAAAACATGGTGTGCACAAGACCTTCAATACAAGTACATGTCTTTGATACATATTATTTCCTAGAATGATTCTGTAGTTGCTTAATTGAGATTTTTCTGTAGGCATTTTCCTTTCTTCCCACTATCGTGTAGAAGAGTGAAGTGTTCACCATGTTCATCTGCAGTTAAGCTGCTCTTTAGAGAGAGTGATGGGCTCGTAGCTCACGTTCCCACTGTGGGAAGCAGCCTGCATGTGTATCTTCTTATTAGTAAATTTTCTGAAGGGCTAGACTGTAATATTTTTTTCTAGAGAAAAAGGAAAGGGAGGAGGTTTTCTTATCTCCTTCTGTTCCTTATCAGTATGTCCTTCTGTTTATCCATGTTCTTCCCTTTTTGGTCATAGTGTACTTTTAAAAATTCTAAATTTTTCTCCAAAACAATGTGTCTTTGCTTCAGCTGCTGTTTATTTCTTCTCTTTTCCAACTTGGTGTTCCTTAACTGAAGACTTAATAACCTTTTCAGTTTCTTGTAAGTACATTCACATAAGATAGGTGTGCCACTACTTCAAAAAAGGTCAGTGTCAAGAAGAAAGGACGGGTGGGGGAACTGGAGTAAATGATTGTTATGTGAAGGGTGTAGAAAGGATTTGCTTTGAATTTTGTAGCCATTGCATTTTTAGACTGTTCTTTTTCTAGAAAGTGTATACCACTTTTCAGGTGTAATATATCCATTAAATGTGCTTCTGATCTTTCTCACTGGTTTTTTTGTTGTTTTTCTTTGGGTTTTTTTTCCCCTCTGGTGTTCTTTCAGAGAAACTGAAACAAAAGTTCATAGAACTTTATATTTTTTTTTTTTTTATGCACAGATTTCACTCAGTTTTATGAAAGCTTTAAGTAAACTTAATGTTGTGAGTTTTTTCCAGAGGAATGTTATTCACTGTTGATTTTAGTTTGCTCAGTTTAAATTTCTAAAAAAAGTAAAAATAAAAAAATGAATCTTCAAGACTCTGGGGATGCTTCTGCACTGTTGCTTAACCTGGATATACTTCATGACTATTCTGCAGAGTGGACTTGAAGAGAAGAGAAAAAAGCAAAACAAGACTTAGCAAATCCTGTTTGTAAAGTGTATTGTGTGTCACTGTAGAAGCAAGGATGTCTTGCAGAACAACCTTTTGTTTGACTGGAGACAAAGCAATCTCCATTAAGAATAATTATGAAGAAATTTCCAGAAGAGGACACCAAATAGGACATTGTTGTTAATCTCTGGCTGGTATGTGAGAAGGCTGGCAGGGACTACAGAGGTGGATGCTGAATAGTGTATAACGGTAAAACGTGTTAACCGTCAAGGCTTGACTTCTTCAAATAATACTGTTGACAAGTCCCACAAGTATTTTATAGCTTGTCAACTTTTAAAACCTTATCAGCTATTGCTTACCTCTATTTCAGCTTTTATCTTGAAAAGCGAGAGCAGTGGTATTTTTGTATTAGTTTGAAAGAAACAGTCTATTCTTATTTTTCTGTGTTGCAGTTCAGCTTCAAAAGGATAATCTGGAGTTTCAGATGAATATGCAACACTCATGAAATAGTAACAATAAAAAAATGCTTAAGAGAATGTGAACTGATTATAGAATTTATTTGATACATTTTCCAAAATATTAAATAGTTTTTTTCATGACCAACAAAAGAGGAAATACAAGGCATGATCGTATGGCACAAGTACACAGCTTGACGAAGAATTTGAACTTCCTCCAAGTTTTTGTGTAGTTAGTAAGCACGTATTTCTTGATTGAAATTAAGAGAAGTAGGTGACCTGGTGGTAGTTAATTTTATTTCCTGGTGCAACTAGGGGACTTCAAGTTATGCTGGCCTTTCCTTGATATGTTGTTTTCCTTTTGCTGGAATAAAAAAGTGCTTGTTATTTTACTTGTAAGGTGATAATGGGTCACTTTAGTTACATTGTCACCAGCAAATCATGTGGGTCCTGGAAATCACAGTTAAGTGTTTGTTAAGAGTTTGTTCATTCATAGTGTTGACAATTTTTAGGTAGGAAAGGATGACCATTGTGGGGCATTGTCCTGCAAATTGGCTTGTCCATTAAAGCAAATGTGACTGCCCTGTCTGCTGTATTTGTACAGCCCTTCTTCCCAAATACGGTAAAAGTGGTAGCTGCTTCATTTGCAGAGCTGGCTAAATCGGTATGAATAAAAATTAATGCGACAGATTGCAATACAGATTTTTAAATTTGAGGGAGGGGGGACTGTTTTAAAAAGACAAAGCTTTGTTGTTTTTCTTAATTACCTAGTTCTGATCTCAGCAACTGCTAGATGGCAGTAGTGTGTAAAGAAGGGCTGTCTAAGAATTTTCTTGAGTATGCTTGTTTTGGAGGAGAGTTTATATTTTCTAGCACTAAAAGTTATGCCACCCTTTTATCATAAAAATTAAAGATGTGTTCTTTACACTAATGCACGTAGTTTCAAGAACCATGGAGCACTTGGGTCATAGTGTGTCTAACGCCTTCTGACAGTTTAGCTGGAGTAATTTAGCTTTTGTCATATTAAAATCAAGCCTAAAGAAATTCAATTCTGTGTATCATAAATCTTCATTTAGAGTCTTGACTGACTGCATAGCTCATCTTTGATATTAAGCATTCTAATGAATCAAACCTAAGGCTTAAAAAACCCAAACAAACTATATTATTTGTCATTTCTTATTAGAACGTTTCTTAAAATGCAAGGTACTTTTTTTTTGTACTTATTCTCTGCTGTTATTTTGTCCTGCCTTGAATTGTTGAGCACTTTTTCAAAGCTTCTTATTCTGACTCACTCTCAGGGAAGTGTCATTTATTCATCATGAAAGCATGTTTTTTTCTCTAGCATGTATTTAAACATGAGTCAAGGTAATGAAGCCAAGCAAATTCTGCATGGGTATTTTTAAAAAGAAGATTTCACGTTTCTGAAAGACATTGTTTCAGAAAATTCTGTGTTTCAAATTGTAATTTGGTCTTTGTAAACATTAACAGCTTAGATTCAGTTTATTTCATGTATTTATAGAACTTGAAATATATATTTCAATTAGGTAGCAATATAACACTTGTATCCTGAGCTTATATTAAGAAATATATGACTAAAAATGACATTAAAATATATAGAAATAACAGTGTTACTTACATATCTCACACTTGCTTAATTATACCTTGTAAGTATTTTAAATAATTAAAAACACAAAATGTTTTCCTTTTAGTGGATATTATGGGAGTGATGACAGGTTACATTTCAATACTATTTGAAAAACATTACTTAGACTGTTAAAGGAATCTTACTTAATGTCTGCAGCTGTTTACAGATTTAATCTGCTTCTTTATCTCCTTCTCTTCCCTTTGTTTTTTCTAAACAAACATTTTTCCTTTTGCCGCAAAAGGCCAGTAAGCTTGCCTTTTACTGGGCCTGTCAGAAGTAGTCCGTGAACTCCCAGGGTCTGCAGCTTACGGGATGAAAACCACTGTTGAATTCAAAGCAGCGTGTAGTCCAATGGATAGAGTACCACACCAGTAGTCAGGAAAATCAGTGCATAGATATTGCTGCAGACAAGAAGTTTCTTAATTTCCATACATTTCTGGAGAGTATCATCAAAGTAGTCGTTAGGATCTCGTAGAGGTCTTTTCTTTTTTCACTTGTTCCTGTATACGATAAATATGTAGGCATAGGTTGGGTACTTACTATCTGTGTGTTTGGGTTTTTTTCTATTACTGTTATTTCAGTTTCACTTCAGTCTGTTTTTGTTGTTTGTTTTGTGGGTTTTTTTTCTTCTTTTCCTCCCAGGACATGGACACTCTGTGGCACTCCTGAGTACCTTGCACCAGAAGTTATACAAAGCAAAGGCCATGGAAGAGCTGTGGATTGGTGGGCCTTGGGAATTCTTATATTTGAGATGTTGTCAGGGTAAGTGATAATGATTGCTATCACATCAATCTTAAATAAATAATTGCATATATATGTGTACAGGATTCTTTACTCTTTCCGTTTACAATATTTGGACTAGCAAATTTGGGCTACATTTGTTATTGATATACCAGTTTAATTTTTGCCGATGAAGAAAGGAATTGGGAAGCTGTAGGAAGGAACATACTTCACTGTTGTGGGATTTTTTACTTTTTTGAATTTGTTGGGTTTGTTTGGGTTTTATTTTTTTTGGTTTTGGGGGATTTTTTTTGGGAGGGGTAGGTTTTACGTAAAATCCTTTATATTTAAAGGGTGGAGAAGCGGACTACCAGTCTTCTTTGAAACGCCTGTAATTAATTTCTAGTATAGTGAAATGATATTTACAGTAGGACCTTTAGTCTGTAAAAATGCATGGTGGCAAGTAGGAGGACTTTAATTAGTACAGCTTGTATTACTACTGAGGACTGGTTTTCTTTAAACCAAAGAAAAAACAGTAGGGAAAAGCTTAAAAGGTCTGTTTGGAAATCCAAACGCTACTTTTGATGTTTTGGAATTTGCTTGATGAGCAATGTTTCCAAAAGGTATACATTCAAACTGAAGAGAGAATTTCTGGCGTTAATATGATTAACTGTTTCTGACTTTAAGTATTAGGTAGAGAAAATTAATTGTCTTAATTTGCTCTGATTTCAAAAGAGAAATGCTCTTCAGTAAAATAAATAACTGGTTTAGGCAGAATGTTAAATTCTGCTTGTATACTGAAAAAGGCATCCACATGGTTTTCGTTGTTTTTTGTCTTGGCTGTATCTTTTGAAGGTATTTGCTAAAAAAAAAAAATAAAGTGGGAATTTTGAAAGAAATAGGTTTTGCCATGGTCAGTGCAGTGGAACAAATGCAGATGAAATCAAGGCTTTCATAGCTTCAGAAGAAACTTAGTATATTTCATCAGTTTTGGTTTCATAGTCGTTAGAACTTGTTTTCAGTACCAGACTGTGTGCTTGGTGCCTTCTTGCTCCCTGAGAGTGCGTCAGATTGCCTCTGTGGCCTTCCGTTCTGGATCTGCAGCCCCATAGAATGAAACTGGAACAAAAACATCCTTACTGTACTGTTGGCAGCAGCTTTGGTGACTTTTCTGGTGTTTGGACAAGCTCATTAGATTGCCTGAGCAGACAGTTCCTCTGATGGATAATCACTTCAGAGCTGCAGTCCATCATATGTGTTTGCTGTGAAGAAGTTCACGCACTAGCATCAAAACACTATCCCAGCAAGCAGTGGGCATCAATGCTGTCCTTTCTTAATGGCCTTGAAGGCATGCATATGCTTTTACTTTGAATCTCAAGGCAATTTCTGAACAGAAAAAGCATGTAAACGTATGAATGGTTCCCTGCTGACGCAGACAGACTTGGCTGACTGGTCTAATAAAAAGTCATTGGTTATGTAGGCTGATTTGTGCAGAGGCCAGGCTTCACCTTTCTTCCTCCACTCCCTGTAACAGTGAGCAGCCCAGTTTGGTCAAGGGAGTCCTTCTCAGAAGCATGAAAGGAGCAAGAGATTCCCAGCAGCCTCGTTGATACTAATCACAGTCCTAGACAGCATGAAGGGCATAGATCAAGTGTCTGGTGCTGTAACATGAGCGCAGGTGCTGCAGTCTCCCAGCTGTAGTCTGAGTAATTTACATTCCTGCCATGGGTTTTGGTGGGACCGTGCTCTGTTCGATCTGTGTGGTCTCAGTGTAAGTGGATATTAGGCATTTTTCCTTTCTGTCCCTTAAAGAGATGTTGATAGGATTCTCTGTACTACAGCAGTAATAAAAACATGGTTTCCAAAGTTAACTTACCAACTACAGATGATAGTCAAGCAAGGTCTCATCTCTGGAGTTGGTGAGACCTCAAGACTCCAGGGCACTGAAGTATGACTGCTATATATTCTGTTGAAGCATGACCAGTATATATTCTTCATGAAAATAAAAAAAAAAAAAAAAGGAGCAGCTGCAGTGGTGTTTCGGTAGGATCTTTTCTGTCCTGACACTATCTGGCATAAGTGATGAGACCTGGATTCGCCCAAGCTTAATATAAACACTTTGGCTATAGAGACTCTGAACTAGTAGAAACAACTTACACATTTCTAAAAGGCTACTGAGATCTTGTATGGGCTGACTGACAGAGCAGCTGGCTGCTGGAAATAATTTTGTAACGGTTTTTACTACAGTATTTGTGTAGCGTGCTCTTCATAATGGATGCTTCTTTTTATCTTTCAGTGTTTGGGTGGAGTCCCTGTGCAAAGCTGGGCTAGGGACTCGCTTACGATTTTTGAGATTCTGGGTTTAGAGGGTTGAGGGGAGTAGGGACTGTGGCTTGTGTGTGTTTTCTTTAAGAGGGCAGGTTGTCACATAGGGCGTATGCTTTTAGCATTTTATCAGCTTTTCACTGTTGTTGACAGTGGTGTTTTAAATTTCCTCACCAACTCAAGATGTGGCTTGATATTTGCTATCAAAGCTATTAATGTAAAAACAGTCCTAGGTAACTTTATCCCTTGAAATTCAAAAATTTAAGAAATATGAAAATGAGAGGTGAACAAAACCTGACTTCAAGGCTAACCTGTTATCTGCAAGTAAGTTAAGACATTTGGTAGTTATTTCCTGAAGTTGCTCTCTCTGAACCCCAAAAGCAATTGAAAAGAATTGCTAGATGACTGTGTAAGGAAATGGTCTCTCTAAAAACAAACAAACAAAACCACACTTTCCTGTTCTGCAGTGTCTTATTTCTCTAACTTAATCTCGAGAGGCCCGTGGAATTCTAGTTCTGCGCGTACTGGATTTAAGGCAAGGTCCCATTTAGGTTTAAGATAGTAAAATATAGGAAGGGGAAAGAACAGGGAGACGCAAGGGTGAGAAGAAATCCTTACAGAACAGAGAAGCAATATCAAGTTCATCAAGTTAATCTGAACAAGCTAAATATACTGTCAGTAGGAGGAGTTGAAAGATCTATTTATTTTGAGTAAAGGTATTCTGTTACAATCTATATACACTTATTATTTAAAGTTACATATGTTAGGTCATAGTTGTACTGTCATCAGACATGTAGCTAACTGAATTTTCTCATGTAATGAAGCCTTTGTGTTTTTCGGTTTTGCTTTGGTGGTCATATGTGATGTGCTGGTCTAGCGTTTTAGGTAGCTAATGGTTCCTGTCTACGGTTTCATATTCTCAGACCTGTGTGGTTTCCCTGGAGGTTTTACAACTTCTCTTTTTCAGTGCTAAAACTATGTTATCTTTGAGACTAATGTCGGTACCATTGTTATGCATCAGTTAGCAGAAGGAATGGTTTGCACCTGTTATCCAGTATACAGAGTTGGGTTTGTTTTTTTAAGTTTCTCTTCAGTTGGTGGAGAAAAGGCAGCTGTTTGTGTTAAGGTGTGAAGACAGTCTGAAACTCAAGGGTGTTTTTGTTGATTTATTAGGTAGCTTCCAGCAAAATGCTTACATTGTCTTGTCTAAAATCTGTGCTGTGTTGCCGATTGACGTTTGCAAGTGGCATCAAAGTCAAGTTATTTGGTTTGTCTGTAAGAAAGCTATGTAAACTTTCAAAGCTGTTCTCATTTTGCATACAGTTCAAATGCACTTTAAGGAGTGTTGCCATGAAATTATTGTATAGCCAAGTGTGATTTAAATTTCTGTCAAGAATTCTAGACTTAGTAATTTTGGATTTCAAAGTGGGAAAGCAAAGAGCAATTTAAACATATGTAAATATGTAAAAAAAAATACATGCTTCTTATTCTTCTTGATTTCGCACCTCAGTAGTGTATAGAGTGTTTGAAGATGGAGGAAAAACCCCTGCATTTCATATGAGTCTGCTTACCGCAGCTGGCACCTTTGTAATACATAGTTACAGAGTCTCATTCTAAATACTTTATGCATTTATAGATGTTAATATGTAATATCAAATACAAAATTGGAAATTGGGTATATTGTTTGTCAACTTGCTTTGGAGAATGTGAAGTACATAATGTTGCCTGACTGAAAAAGGAACTTTATATGACAGTGTCTCTGGTGTGGGAAAATTTTATGCATGTTAAATGTCTATCACGTTTTCCTTGTTCTTTAGTGTCACAGCAAGAATTCATAAAAAACACAATTATTTTTTCCTTAGATTCTTACATTATCGAGTTTCTTTCTAGATGAGACTATTCAGTTTTTCATAGTGAAACTACTCTGACTTTCTGAACAATATCAACAAATTTTTTTCAATTGTTCCTTAACCAGATAGTTTTGTCCTGCTTTTCTGTGTTTGAAAATATTACTTTTTCAACCTTATGCATACAGACAGTTTTATTTAACTATTCTGATGGAATTTGGTTTGTCTGTGGCTGAATTTTAGAGTATTTCAAAGGAAATGCTAATCCACTTGACCATGAGCTGAATCATGAAGAAATTAGTACTTCTGAAGACACTTATGTAGTCGAAATAATGTATAGTACTTGAGGAGTAAGGTAGTTTGAGTAATACAAGATTAAGGAAAGAATGTGAAATGGAGTAACATTGTTTTCACCCTTGTTTGTGCTATCAGTGGTTTCCAAAGCCACCAGCACTGTATTTGTGCATATACTCACGCAGTTAATTTCTCTTAGAAAGTAATTGTAAAGTGTTAGGGAGATCTGAAAATGTTTTAAGCATTGGACTGTAATAGTGGTTGGATGTTATTAGTATCGTTGATACTCAATATCCCTTTTTTTCTATTCTGTAGGAGTTTTGAGACAGAAGCATAGTAAGATGGATGTTTTGCTCCTGTTACGGAAGTCACAGTAGGACTGAGATTAGTGAATGAATAGTTAGTTATTCCATTCCCCTAAAAGGTTTCCTGTGGTAACTTCTAGAAAGGTGACTGCCACTCTGAAAACCTGTTGACACTTGGGCTGAGCTGCTTGTGCTGACTGTACTGATGCATCCATACTCTGAGCCTCTTGCAGTAATCAGAGTATGTATTATACTAGTAAAGGAAGCACAACAGAGAACTATCTAAATTCTTTCTGAAGCTGCAAGACAAGAAGTAGTCTCTGTTAACTCATAACTTCATGAAGAACTTTTTAGGAAATAGAGTAGAATTTTAGTTGCATCCTGATTTAGTGATCATCTTGGGAAGATTATGAGATAAGTACTTTATCTGTCCAACACAAAGACAGCTGCACTTTGAGAGAATTTCAGGTTCTGAACAGCCTGTCTCTTTCAAACCTTCTCTAACAAAACATATACTTGAATTCAAGATGTATATCAATAAATAACTGAACTGGACAATCTATTAGTATCAGGGTCCTTTGACACTTCAGATAAAAACTAGTGATAAGGGTATGCCTGCAGTTACAGGACAAGACCAAAAACGGTAATGCTGTTTTGGAAAATGTACTCTTGGGTTTTATAGATAAAGCCAAAGCATTTTTTACTTGAACACTGAAAATTTGTTTCATAATTGATATTTTTTACTGTATTACTGTAACAAAAATCTTTTGTAATACTCACTTTTAGTTCTGTATTCAACGTGGTGTGTACAAAAGTGTTTTCTGATTTGCAATTGCAGCTTTAACTTAAGTTATTCTTCAAGTTAGTATTTGATTGATGATGCCCTATCAAAAAGAACTATATAATCAGTGATTTCTCTGGGGAATAACTATAACGTAATACTGTTTATAAGATTTTTAGAAATCCTTTTTCTAACCTCTAAAAATTTGCTGTATTAAAATAGGTTTCCTCCATTTTTTGATGACAATCCATTTGGTATATATCAGAAGATTCTTGCTGGCAAAATAGATTTCCCGAGGCATTTGGATTTATATGTAAAGTAAGTCAATGACTCCCAACACTGTCTTTTATATTCTAAACACCTCCTGAGCACTGTTTGTAAAGGGTCTTCATAGAAGAGCAGACACTAGATTCTGTTTTTCTAAAACACCATGTTGGAAAATATATAGATTATGCTTACTGTTAACAGTCCAAGTAAAATTATGTGTTTGGTAGACTTCAGGCTGGAGATACAGTTGTAGGATAGTATCTTCCTCTCTTACTTTATTGCATATTTTTGAACATTAAATGCTTTTCCACCTTGTACAAAGGCCATTGGTACCAGGTTGGTGCATGGAAGGAAGAAAAGAGGAGAAATATGAGGAGACAATTTAATATGAGTAAAAATTGGGAGAGTAGGAAGTGAACACTACAGTGTTCCTTTGTACGCTTATGTACCAGTTAAACAACTCTCAACATAACTACTTGAATGAATTTTCTGGTACTTCAGAAATTCCAGTGTAAAATTGACTTCCACTTCTGGTAGCAGGGCCCCTGTTCAATATGCAGTCTCCTATATGCATGTGTGGGTTTCATTTGTAGTATTTTGCAGTCATTACAGGTATATTGCAGATGAAATGCTTTTTTCCTTGTTTAAAAATTCTGTAATTGAAATAGCTGTTAGTAAACATTAGAACAGAGTGAGTGCAATTTTAAACATGAAGTTTGTCCTCGGAAGCAGAGGTGATTGAGTGAGTGAGGACAGGAAGTTATTCTTACATTCCCAGGTTAATCACTCCAGGTGTTTTGAAGAAGTGACCTTAGAGATGGCACTTGCTTACTGTCACCACTAGGGAAATAGATAAAATGTTTTATGGCAAATCTAATGAAATCTGTCCAACTTTCCCTGAACTTCCATGAATTTTCTTGCAAAAATAATCATTTGGGGAGGATTTTTTTAAGCCTCTGTTGAGTCATCAGGTGCACTTAATCAAGCGTGTCTGCATCACCTTAGGCTTATCAGTGTCTCGTGTTTGTATCTGTTCTTTAACAGAGTTTTTCCTTACTATCTTGATGCTGTTTCCAGTTTAGTGTAGTCTCCTTCTCTGGTCTTCGTAACACGGTCTGTCTTAGAAAGAAAACTGAGTATCTCACATAGTATTATGTGCACTGAATTATGGGAGTGTGACCAGAAACAGCTTGAATTAACCTGTCTAACACGGTGAAAGCATTTAAAAGTAGAGATGCTGTTAGCTTCTGTTTGTGTTCAGCATTCACAGATCAACACTGAGCTCTCCTATCCAGACACCTGATGCTGTGAAGTTTGCTTGTTATGGTAGTAAGCATGTGTATACAGGCTTTGCCCTTCAGTCTAGATGTGACTGTCGATGAATTGTAGGATACATTAATCAACACAGTTGTTGCTACATGTCTGTCCCAGCTTTTCTTATCCAGATGTTTTTTCAATGTGTGCTTGGCAGCTCATTCCCATTACACTCCTACCTTGAAGGGATCTCATGGGATTCTAGCTTGGGCTTTCCTTCTTTGACACCTTGATTTTGGGTGATCTCATTCATTTGCGTAGCTTCATCTGCTCTGTGCAGTGAGTTGTTAGCATAATGTATCTCTTGTTCCATCAACCCCTCTTCCTTTTTTTTAAACCACAGGATGCAGAACTGGGCAATCTTTGACATCTCTGCACCTTTAGCTTAAAGCGAGCACCAAGATTGTTCTGTCCTAAGAAGACAATCTGCTTCTTACCTTACTTTATATCCCATTTGCTTTCTCTCTCTTCTTCCTATCAGTCGGTTTCTCAGAAGGATTAAGACTGTCTTGGGTCCTGTCACATCCGGGCTATGTCTGAAGTATTAGTGCTATACAGTGTTTATAATAATTGAACTTTAGCTTTTTTCCGTTTTGAACTGTGAGAAAACTATTCTACCTAGATGTACTACATAAACTTACTGGTTGACATTTTTCTACTTGCCTACCCCCTTTCATGCACCCACGCTTTGTACCTTTTGAATTTGTACTGCTTTTGTTTTCCCTCCTGCTGCATGATGTTCACTGTCTGTTACAGTGCTGTATAACTGCTGTGCGTCTTAAATAAAGGTGCTGTTCCTTCTGGGCTGAGCTGGCATCTCTTCACGTTGCTCTTTACCGTGTCCCTTTTGTTAGCTGCCCAGCAATTTGGTCAGATGTTTTTCTGAAGTCCTGTATACATGAAGTCCTTGACACATTTGATAATTAGTTCAGATCTCTGCTGAAGAGCAGCTTCTGCCATGATGATGATCATCATAAATTAAACAACTAGAAATTCCAAAATAAGACTGTCAGCAGAGTTTTGTGTTGCTTCATTTCTGATAAAATGTAGGTATTAATTACACTCCACCTCTTTCTTTGGCCACTGATGAATTTGTAAGTTAGTTCTTTATATTTTTCTTTTTTGGCTTTTGTAAACTTTTCTTTGCAAAGACAGTTTTGGAAAATACCAAAAGAAACATGAGTGCTACAGCAGTATAATCATTGTTGGTCTGGGGAGACCTTGGTGTAGAATTTCATTCCCCGAATACATATAGCAGCATACCTATTGGATTGATTTTAATGTGATCATTTCTAAAATATTCTTTAGAAACTATGTAATACAGAAGCACTAAACTATCTATTACTTGATTAAATTTAATGGATATTTGTTCTACTGAATGCAGCAAATGTCTTCATCTTTAGTGACAACACGGTGTCACTGAGGAAGCTCATCCCTTAACTGTTCTGTTCCAAGATGACTTTCTGAAGAAAGCCAAGAATGATCCATTGAATGTTTTCTGGTTATATAGGAAGAGGAAACTCCGTGATTTATCTTTGGCCATATAGCCTGTGAATCTAGTTCTGCGTTTCTGGGTTTCTTTTCGGTCCCACTTCTGTTTTAAAGTCAGGTTATAGCCGTCCTTGTAGCCTTCTCCGTAAGGAATAGTCTTCTCCACAGAGAACTGGAAGGAGGTATTTCTGCGAAGGTGACTGTAAAAAGACTCATTCATGTCATTTAATCTAATCCAAACATTGATTGGCTGGAGCGATCATGAGAGTTTTAAAAATGGCTTTCTACCTTGACTTTTTATTCTCCTTCTATCTGGCAATTGAATATTTTTCAGCTGAATTTTAGAACTATATTCCTGCCAAATACGACAGTTTTTCAAACAGTCTAGCACATTCTCTCTCAGTTCACATATTCTGTGTGCATAAGGTTTTGTGATTTCAAGGATAGGTGACAGAATACTGTTTTAGTTTTGGGTTAGTAGGTGTTACAGTTAGGGATGGAGAGAGGCCGGTGTGTCATTAATGTGTTTGCACTCTTTTCTGTAAATAAAGCTGTTGCCTTTTTTAAACCTCCTGCAAAGTTAGAATTGGAATTAGCCATACTCTCTAGATCCCCAGCGTTTCATGCAGTATTGCATCTTGGGTCTATTTGAGGCTGTAGAAAGAAGGATTGCTAAACTTTTATTCTTTCCTGTCATTGATCATTTATGCAATGGGACCAGAATGCTATTCTAAAAATAAAGAGCAAAATAATCTTTGAGATTAAAAAGTAACTGTAGAAATGTGAAGCCAGACCTTTCTCTCAACTCATAAGTAATAAAGCTAACTCAATAAACTGTGAAACAATAATTTATGCTGGAGTTTTCCAGTGCTTAATATTTGAAGTTCTTTGCTGTTAAAACAGAAGTCCTTTATGTCTCTAAACTTACATTTGTGTCTGAAAATGTTGATTTAGCTTTATATGGAACTCTTGAATGAACTAGAATCTCAGGGAACGCTTTTCATTTTTAATGAAATTAAAACTTACAGATATTACTAGTTTTAAGCAGATGACTAACTCTTACGTGGTTTCTCTAAATATTTAGCCATCACAGAAATGAAATATCAATGTATAAAGTTGAGGGTGCAGCTTTATCTGTATTTTTTATATGTATTAGAGTTGTGTTCTGCCAAATAGATTTGATACCCATTTTGAGATTTGGAATGCCCAGCAAAATACAAAAATACAAAGAAAGATGCTACTTCCTGGGGGGGACAGGGAAGGAGGGAGAGAGAAAGTTTTTCTCCTTTTTTTCTTTTTTTCTTGAAAGAGTCTAAAAGGAACTTCAAAGAATTCTGCAAGTTCCTTTTAGAATGGGTTATTCTTCTTGTCATTCATTCTCTAAGTGTCCTAAAATATGAAAGAATTTAATGGGTAAATTATGCACAATATTAACTAGTCAAAGAGAAGTATACTCATATTCTATAACATTTGTATGACAGTCAAATATAAATTATTTTTGGTCAACAGAGAACATGTTTTCTTTACTGCAGAGACCTTATTAAGAAGCTGCTTGTGGTTGACAGGACAAGACGATTAGGAAATATGAAGGTCAGTATAAACTGTTAGGTGTAGCGCAGAACATAGCACTGGGTTGAAAGAATTCAGTAGGAATGATGTAAAACAGCTCTTCTGTGGCTTTTGTTTTGATACGTTACTTCAGTTGTGCAATCCTAAATGCAAAGTTTATCTCTCTGTTTCTGGAAATCATACTTCTGTTTGGATTAGTGCTGTCCTTCATAATAGTTTACCTTCCACCTAACCCCTCCAACCCCCAGAAAAAAACTTTTTACTGATTAAGCTGAAGACTTACATTAGACTGGCAGCATGGTGCTAAGTGCTGTAGGACAGGGTGCCAGCTGATTCGGTTCTTTCTTTGGAGTTGTTTAATCCCAGAAGGAGAACTAATCAAATATGAGACTGAAAAATTATTTTAAAGAATATAAGGGTGGTTGTAGTACCATGATGTTTGGTCATTGTCCTCGTAGTTTGGTGGGGTTGATTAAGCATGGTCAAACAGTCTTCCACCAAGAACAACTATTCATCCTATTCTGAAGAGACTTCTGAAGGCAATAGACAGTCAAAAATATGCTCAGGTGTCTCAGGTAGCATTGCAGTCTACCTCAGAAATACGTCTATATCTGTGATATGTTAAGGAGGAACACAAAGCAATCCTGTGAATTCTGTTAGATGTCCTGATGTGGTACTACTTGCAGTGCCAAGAACATGACAGCTGTATTACAAACTTATCTGCTTCTGCAGCTGTGCGGTAGCTTTGATTGGTAGTGCAGTAAGAAGTCAGCTGCATGTGAACTAATTCAGGTACTTCAACAGGCTAGCCAAAGCACCACACAAAACTCAGTGTAAGTTAATTTACCCTTCCAGCAGAAGTTGTTAATCCTGTATTCATTGACTTCTTGTTGTTCTTGTAGTGTTGCAGATACCTAAATTAGCTTGTGTAATCTTTTAGTTCTTTAGAGACTGCTAAAGTTTCCATTGTCCTGGGCAGGGGAAATTAGAGCTTTGCTTTTTTTGCACAAAGCACAATTTAGGGTGCACATAGGTGAAGAAGGTAAAATGTGCACAGTCATCCAGGTTCCTTGAACATATTGGTGTAAGTATAGATGCTAGAACCTGCTGTCCTAAGTTTCTTTTCAGAGCCTTTCATGGCACAAATTTAGACTGATGAGAAAAGGTAGGAAATAAATTTTTTTCTTATCCTTCAGAATTCTTTGCAGTGTTTTTCAGGGGGGCAGCAGGAGGATTAAAACAAAACTTTCATAAGCTGAAAATTTAGAAAGTTATTGACCAGTGAAAACTTGTACCTTTTGATAGTTTTGAAGGAAAACAAAACAAAAGCAAACCTTGGTTTTTTCAAACATGGGGTTTGGGAAATATGTTTGGCTGGGTTTTTTTTGTCTGTGGTAATAGTTCTTTTTAGAAGCAGGAATTGGGGTGAGGGTGGTAGATCAATTTTAAGTCTGATCTTTTTCCATAATCGTAGTTGTTTTAAAAAGATTTAAATCCCATTGGGCATTTTCTGGTGAAGCATTCAATCACCTGTGCTTTTGAGGGAATAGGTAATAAATTACTCTCCTTGTTGCCTCTTTGGATATGAGCATGGATAGTCCCACTCCGTATAAATCTGAACAAAACAAATGTGTGTTATGCTTCCTTCCATGGAGCTGCATGTGGTATGAGCTTAAGTGCTATGCATTAAAACTGTGCTGTGATCAACCCAAGCTGGTTGAGAAAACCAGCTGGTTTTCCCCAGTGCTTAATGCCTCGAGAATGAGTCTGTGCTTAAACCAAGCTTCATCCTGGGGGGCAGGGGGAGGAGGGGGAAGGAATGATATTTTTGTTCCTTTTTTACATAATCAAAACAGTCAGCTCAGAGACAATAATCATGACAGGACAAATATGCCTTCAGCCATATATCTAAAATGAAAACAAATGGTTTTATATATATACTTGTGTAACAGTATTGAGAGCCTCTTGTTGTTGGCACTAGATGTCTGTAATATTTCATAGAACTGTGTGCTTCCCAGACATTATTTTTATTTAAGACCTGATCAACCTTCGGGTTTGGGATTCGTTTTTTGGTTTGTTTTTTTTTTTTTGCGTAAGAATTAGAAAGTGTATCTGAAGAAGAGACATTCTCTGAAATGTTGGAGAAAACAGAATTGAGTAGAACTGCAATTAATGGTTTTGTGGCTATTTTAAAGCTTATTCCAGATCTCCCTTGTGTCAGAGGAATGCTGCTTAAAAAAAAAGAGAGAAATTTGAATTTTATTGCTGGAACTCAGAATCTGCTAGGCAAATAACACTATGAATATATCCTGTAGAATCTTTTAATGATTATTAAGAGAAAAGTTAGATGGACCATTAGTCTGCTTTGATACCACAGTTCTTATGATGAAATACATGATTTGGCATACATATAACTTACTAAATATTTATTTTGATTTTTTCCTTAAAGAACGGAGCAGATGATGTGAAGAGACATCGATGGTTCAGGTCTATAGATTGGGACGCTGTACCTCAAAGGAGATTAAAGGTATATTCTGCAAAATACTATATAGGACATTGCAACAAGAAATCATTGTTCATTTAAGCTGGTCTGTTGAGATGTTGTTGCCTGTTGCATGTGTATGTTCATATATGTGTATAAGCATGTATGTATATGCACACATCAATAATAACATGCATTTTGCCCTTTTACACTGCGGAATTAATTATATGAATGTCCACTTGCATTTTTGTCTGTATACAAAATGACTAGAAATAATCCCTGATTTGTTTTGCTGAAGTTGATTAGCTTAATACAACATTTAATTTTCAGTTTTAAGATTTTTTTTTTTTTTTTTTAATAATTACTTGTTATAGGTACTTTTTAGTTTGGGGTGTTGGGGGGAATTGATGGTTTGTTGGTTTGGGATTGTCTTTTTCTTTTTTTCCCTGCCCTTATATCTGTGGAAGTCTTTTACTCTGGGCTTTAAATTTTTGTGCCAAGTTCAAGTCAGGTAAATGCTTTAGTAAAATGTAAAGCATATGGGAGTAGGAGGACTAGGGAAGGTGAGAGAGAAGGATTTATGAATGTAATTGTGACATACTTTTTGACAGCACTGGATTCTAGTATTATAAGAGGGCAGATGTTTCCAAAAGCTATCAACACTGCAAAATGCTTTTTAAACTCCTTTGGAAGTATAACTGTCTTCTTGCTTTCCTTCCTCAATGTTCTAAACAGTATGATTTCTTACGGCAGTGATTTTCAGTAACATGGGTTATAATATGCAATCAGTCAAGTACCTATTAAATGTTTGGTTTTCCTTTTCCTTGCGTTAGTTTCTTACCATGAATTTCTGACTAGGTATCTTAAATTGAGTTCTTGAAAAAGAGATAAGATACGAAAATGTTCGTGATGTATTCTTGTAGACAACATCCTGATAAAAAGCTGTGACTCTTTCCTTTTGAAAAGACTAGTTTACATTGTTTTAAATGTGTGGGTTGATTTATCCCAGTTGATTTATGTAGAGCTGTTGTAATGAAGTCACATTTTTCAGATGATTTACTGTAATTTCTGGTCACACAAACCAAAAAGAATACAAACTGGATAATAACTTTTTATAAGTATTTGAACTCTGAAGATTATGACAACCTACTGTATTACCAAATAAATAACAAATAGTGCTAAAAACTGAATGTTACAGATGCAAATCAAACTCTGGAGTCCAAATATGCTTTGTGTTGCTTTTTTTTTTTTTAGGGAGTGTCACTGTGGCATTCAGATTATTATGAATCCAAAACTTTTTTCTTAGTCTTTGTCATGGTTACATTAAGGTCTTAGAAGACAAGATGCTGCCTAATTCTACTTCAGAGCAAGGATGTGAATTGAGTCAGAAATTTACTTCATTATTTCTAGAGGCAGTTATATTCTTCAAACTTATTTTTCACAATCTCACTCTATTTCATACTGATGAAGAGATTGAAAATTTGAATTAATGGTTACAGTGCTTCATTGTGTGAATTGGCTTATTGTACAAATGAAGCATTGGTTCATGGTCTTGAGAAGATCTTAAATATCAGTATTATATAAATAATAGTAACGACTGAAAGAGAGAAAATAATTTTGTTAATCTGAAATAGAGGATTTTCCTTTCTTTCTTTCTTTTTGTTATTTTTTTCTTTTTGTGTGTCACTTCACAAAACTGGTTTTACTGTCAAAATGCCTTCAGGGAGGTGGGGATACCAGGCATTTCCCACAGTGGAGCAGTTGGTCCTCTGGAGCAGAGCAGATTCTGCATGCTTGCTTAAGTATGTGGGCAGTATACTGTGACTGCCACATGCAGAAGTAGGGTTTTGCTTTTGGCTGAAGTTTAGAAGTACCATCCCTCAGGGACCCTTTCTTTCCCATTGAAAAGCTGCTGATGGCATTGTTTCAAACTGAGAAGCCTAAAAGATCAGGTAAGATCTCAGAGCTAGTGGAAGCCAGACTTCATCTTTTTGAGGAGATGCGAAATAACTTTTTGCTGTACTTTATAGTTCTGTCTGTGGTAGGACTTTTGTTAGCCAGTTCGGTGATCGTCCATAAGGTTTTCTCAACCTGAAGTGTTCTGTTGGACTCATGATGATAGCTAAGCTCTCTGTTAATGAGAAGGGGATAGAGAGGTGAATGTCCCTTGAGAGAATAAAAGGGGTTTGCGATATGTTAACCCCCATGATCAATGAAATGTTCCAGAAAGGAGCTGTATCTCCTAGCCTGTGGCCAGAAGGGCAGAGTAATCTTGATGCTAGATACAAGGCAAGGAAAAATTACAGGTACTGTGAAGCTGATGAGCAATGCTAGAAATCCAAAGGATCCTCTGAGAAAAACACATTTTTCTTGGCACCTTCAGGTTTCCTTAGAAAGATCCATTTGAATTCAGATACTTTTACAGACGTCCTTATGAAATGAGTTTTTACAGTGCAACCATTTCTTTACTTGCTTCAATTTATTGCTAGGCTAGGAAAAAGCATAGTACACAATGTGAAGCATACACAAGTTAGTAATTTCAACCTCCTTAAAAGCAATCAATCTATTTGAAAGCAATGAAGAGAAGAGGAGGCTTTTCTCCTTCAATTAGAAAGCAGTTACCCACACTGCTGTCAAGACTCTCTATTAGTTGAAAGGAGCCTAATGTGTTTACACTCATTTTTACTCGCAGGCTGCAGAAGAGGGGAGGAGTGCAGAAGAAGAGTGGCAGATTATGCTGTAATGGCATGTGCCTGGAAGCTTAGTTGTAGTAATCCTTCACAGTAGTTACCTTCAGTCTGCAAAGCACCTAAAACTTGTGTGCTGAGTAAAATAGGTGTCTGTATTATAAGTGTCTTTTAACCACAATGTTTAACTGCAGTATAGAGAAAGCATTGGAACATGTCTGTGTCACTGCAAGCTTCTCTCTCTCTCATGCCATTCGTTATTGGTGAAAAAGGTGAACTTTTAGAGATACATACTTTGCGTTTAATCAGCCTTTTACAGAATTTCTGCTTTAATGCGATGGAGAGGAGCTCATTGAGGAATCTGTACTAACATTTTTGTTGTGCTTGTTCTGACTAGCCTCCCATAGTACCAAAAGTATCCAATGATGGGGATACTTCCAATTTTGAAGCTTATCCTGAAGATGACTGGAACCAGATGCCTCCGGTACCCCCTAAAGATCTAGAAATTTTCAAGAACTTCTGAGTGCAACATCTACACTGGACGAGGTATGTCCAAATGTCAGGAGTCCTTTTCAAAACATTGCAGGTCTGTGAGTGAGAGCCATGGGCAGAAATTACATCTTCTGATTCATAACAGTGATTATCACTTCCTTACAACTCATAAACCCAACATGAATCACAGTAATAGATAGTATAAAGTACACTGTCAAATAAAATACTGTAAAGTGGACTTACAGAATGACAAGGGTAACTTATCTCACAGGCTTTGGTGTTCTGCAGTGACGAAGAGTTGTTCACATACAGATATTTAAGTCCTTGTGTCCTTAAAACTTTTAAATAGTGTGTTAAAAGCAAATATCGAGATTGATTTGACAGATAAGGAAATGTGATTGTTCTTGATTGCAAGATTTTGACATGTGGAAAGCAGACTCCACAATCTGTAAGATTGTAAAGTAGGTATGTTTATTCAGCACCGGGCAGCACGGGGGGGTAGTCCCACCAAAGTCGTGCGCACTGAGCAGCAACGTGTCTCTTCAATTTATACAATCAAATATTACATATACATTAGATTTCCCAATACACCTATACATATGCATCTATCCTCATTGCATATCAAAATTAGTTCTGAGAAATAATTTCCATATTATAATTAGTTCCAAGAAGTAATTTCCATATACTCCTTCCAGTTGCACTTGCGCAGTGCCTCCTAGTGGTGGTCATCGGGGGTCCCAAGATGAAGGCTCATCCTCTTCATCATGGTGTTCGCTGGTTGACCTTTGTTTCTGCGCAAACTCAGTTCTCTCCTGGCTCCCATCCATACAGCAGGGTCGGTCTTAACCGGTTCTAAGCGACTTCCACCCCCTATCAGGAACTGACCCCTTTGTATGGAGATGCAAGACTCTCTGCTTCAGTTAATTTAGACAATAGATAGGCACTATCAATTCTCTTTAAATGCACCGCAACTATTAAGTAATGCTACTTCTACTAAAATCCCTTTTAACCCCTTCCTTCAATTTTTGTATGAAGAATGAAGACTTTAGTTAGAGGAATATGGTTGTCAGATTAATTCTGTACCCTGGATTCTGTTTTATAACTGTGACAGGGTGATACTTGTCGTTCAATTCACATGCTCCACACTGTATTTTCTGTTCCTTTTTCATTATTTTTTATCTTAGAAACTGGAAGGAAATTGAAGTGCTAAGAGCAAGTCTGAAGAAAAATGGAGTTCATACGTAAATGAAGACTTTCTTTGTGGATAAGAATGATACTGCGTTCAGATATGTGTATTAGTATATATATATATAGTAAATACCTAAAGAATTGGAGGCGGGCAAGAATAGTTTTTTGCGGTAAACATTTGACATTAGTAAATTGTAATATTGATAGTCTACTCTGAAGTAGGCTTACTAAAATGGTATATTTTAGGATTTTTTTTTAACTTATGTTTTAGTTAAGTTTCCTGCAATTCCCAGATCCTTTTTGCATAGTTAACTCATAGACTTAATTTTATAAGTTTATACTAAACTTGTGTAATTAAAAGCACAAATTAGTATATATGTATATAATGAATACAATACAACTAAAGCACAGGAACTGTGCAAAGATGTAAATTTTTGTACTTTGCAGAGTCTATGATTTTTATTTTTCAAATAATGTTTTTCAAGAAGTTCTCTAGGAATAAAAATCTTAAAAGGATAAATGAGTTTTTCATCATCTTATATACATTTTATAATTCTTTGTAAAAAATAAAAATAATTAAGTTTTAAAAAAGATTTGTACCTAAAATTTACAATGCCTCACACTTGCAACCTAGTACTTGAAAGCAGAAAGACAAGGGCATGTTTTATTGTTGACTAAGATGCATCTTAATGGCTAATACATGAAGTTTTGTTACAATGATGTCTCTTTACAAACCAAGATATTGAATGATCATACGCTGTCTGAAATGAGATTTCTCACATGAAGACTGTCTGTAAACATACAATTTGGTGCATACTGATAACAGGGCTCTAACTGGCTCTTACAGGAGTTGTTCTCTCTCAAGCTTGCTCTCATCTTTAGCTGTAAAGCATGAACCATAACAGATGTTTTCATTATTGAAATAGTTATTGTTGAATGCTTGGCACTTCAGAATATCAAAGGGAAAACTGAATATATATATTTGAGCCTGATTCTTCTGCTTCTGCTTTCAGAAATGTGCTAAAGTCTCTGCTGCCAGGAATTCCATATGTACAGAGTTCAAACCTTAGATGTAAGGAGCTCCTTTTTTCATCCTGTACTAACATCTTTCTAGCAGCCTGAGTACACTGTATTTAGGAAGTATTTACAATACTGCTTCATTTTAAGTAGCACCAATTATCAGTATGTGCATATGTACGTGTCTATGTATATGAATACACATAAACATGAAGGTAAATTGTATACAAGTCAGGACCTTTTTTTAGTGTTTTTTTCATGTTACATGTTGTGACACTTGTGTTAAAATAGAGGAATTGATTTTGAAGTGCTGTGATTTCAAAAAGTAATTACATTATTTCAGATGTTGTGGTTTAGTGAAATTAAGACATTTAGACCAAAAATATTTTTTTCGAAAGCACATCAGTTCGCTGGAGTACCACTGCTACGACTGATGGCTCTACACAGAACTGTTGAAGCAGACCATACAGACAGTTTCTCCCACAAACAGCTCTCCGCATTTTTTGTATGAAATGCCATGAGCAATATAGGCCAAAGATTCATTCTTCTGAACTAAATCCTGAATGTTTATGAAGTAGACATTCTAATAATCGCTAATTAAATTACCATGTTTATAATTTTATGGTGGATCTGCAGCTGGAGTCTCCTCGTGGAAAAGTGACCTCTATTTTCCTTTGTTTAGCTCTAAACAGTACAGAAGTGCGGTTGAGAACTTGAAATTTCTAAGCTGTTAGATCTATTTCTTCATAAAGCAAGTCTAACTTTAAGAGGCTGCATAACTTATTGCAAAAATGCACAATCTGTAACAAAACCAGGATACTTCAAACCGGTAATTCTGGAATATCACCAAGTCTTCTTAATGTTATGCAAGCGCCACAAGTTGATGGTCCCAGCTGCCACTCAGTAAATACTGTGTAGTAATGTATAATGCAATACAGGAAAATCCATAGAAAATGATAAATTTAACCTGGTAAAACGTACCTTATTCACTTGAAAAAATGAATCTGGTCCACTGTACTTGTATGCATGGAATTAGTTATTCCGAATCAATCAGACAAAGCAAGCTGTGTTTTATGCGCTTCAGTTTTTCTAAAGGGAGCAAGCACAGTTCAGGGTTTTCTTTTAATGTGTAAGCTTACAGTATTTTTTATGGAATCTGAGTACTACAAAAACAGTCTCTTACTTAAACGTGTACATACTGCGATGAGCAACTGTGCTAAATATTTTTTTTCAGATTTAAAAACTGCACTGTGTTTAAGCCTTCAAAGCTGAGGAAATAAAGTTACACTTGACTAATGTGCCACATTGGTGGTTGGAAGTTTTGAATGCTTGAACAACAGGAGATAGCGGATTTTCTTTTTATGAATCTTATCCATTGCTGGCAGTGGATGCACTGACACTCATTAGGATAGAGACTAAAGAAACAAATACAATCTTAATAATACTGCTAACCCATTGACTTTACATTGTTTCCAGAGTCATGTGTACATATGCCTAACTACTGACCTCGTCAAAAAGCTTTCTGGTACAAAACTGCTTTCAAATTTTTTTAATTCCTTAATTAAAAAAAAAAATCAACAAAACATTTTTGAAGCATTATTTGAAGGGATCAGGTATTTTCTCTACAGTCTTGAACATAATGAGCTGTTATTACCTGCCCATTTTATTTATTTGCACAAGTGAGTCTTTTATTTTAAGTCTTTCCTGGGATTTCATGGCCCACTAGGGTAGTTCTGTTTGAGTGCTCACGCAGAAGGCCCTGGATACACACTGCACAAAGGACTCTGGATTTATGGGGTTTTTTTAAGCAGGCTAGAAAAGATTTTTATTTCCTATTCAAGTATGGTATTCTCTGAAGTTCGTTTTATTATGGTTGCTTCTGTTAACATGTGTTTTTGCATATAGACTGTTGCATAAGGACTGTTTTCATTCAAGAGCCCGTAGGCCTTTGGTATTCTACTTTGGTGGACAAGAATGTTAAACATTAAAGAACAACCTTTATTTTTAAGTTTTATATATATATATATATTTTTAAGTGCCCAATTTGAGATTTTAAGTGATAAATGTGCATTGTAAACTCAATTGCCTTGGAACCAAATGATATAAATGCTTCATGATTTCAATGGAGAACATGCTGTAGATTTTCCTGTAAATTAGCTTGATCAATGAATATGTGTGCTACTGAGCTTTAACTAATGTGATCTTCCACTGTAGAAAGTCATTGTTAATCGATCAGATATAGGTACTAAACTATGTTTAAATGGATGAACAGGGATTTTGCAGTTTTGAAAGCAATTAAGATATGGCTGTTCCTCAGCCCATCTGCTTGCCATTCAGAAGAGTTGTAATGCAGTGCTTCCTACGCTATACAATTATTTTTCAGCTTTCAATGACTGTAGCATGATTCCTTTTTGTACTGTACTGTGTACAGACTTTCAATGTTTTGCACTTTTCTATGGCAAACCTTGACTGCTTTATAAATACTCTGTTGTGTGCTAAGTAGTGATAGTGGTATGTGTACTGCATAATCAGTTTGAACTGCTAGACTTGCGAGGTTATCTTGGACTAATGTTGTACGTTGCTGGTTGCTTGTTGTAGCTCACATGTGTAAGTACTGTTCAAAGTCAGCCCTCATTGCACAATGAAAATCACTGTGATCTGTACATAAACCCTAGTAAAATTTTATTGCTGTTTAATTTATGTAATATCTGTCAAATCTGGATTCATTTAATAAACCTTTATATCTTTTTAAATGTTTAAACTTAGTTTGCTTCCATTTATGTTGGGAGGAGGTAGAGGTTCTTCGTACATAAAAATGATGAAGGGGAGAGGAGTAGATAAACAACTGTTACTTCTTTTCAGGAGTTAAGTTTTTCCAGAGCAAGACACAAGCGCTGGAACATATTTCAGTTGGCGTGGAAGAAGCACCCAAAAGTATATTTTTCATATTTGTTTCATGTAGTGGACCCATAATGAAAAGTGCGAACTCGGACTTCTCATTAAACTTTAATTATATGACCCTAATTGCTTGAACGTTTTCACAACTTAATGTTGTGAAAACTGTCTGGAACACTCATTTCAATCATTTTCTTTACGTATCAAAAAAATATTCTTGTGATGTTAGGCACACCTAACTAAACCTTTATTTCATCTTCCATCAAGAACTTCAAAAGTCCATTTTCAACAAAATTCGTTTAGCTGTTGGTGTTAAATTACTTCTCCCGGGTCAATTGTGTTACCCACTAGATGGCTGGATACAGTTCGGACTAGTTAAGGGTTGTTCTTTTAACACAGAACTTTGTGCTTTCTTTCTGCTTGGCTTAATTCTAGATTTTGTGCATTGGTGGTTTTCTCCTGTAAACCACATCATGTGCTTCAAGAAACTGCTAGTGGAAAGTGAAGGAACAACACATGAGCCCTGGCAAGCTTTTAGTCGTGTCCTTGACATGAATCAAAACAACTGCTCAATTAAATCAAATTTTTGAGTGTTAGCAAGTGTCCAGGGTGTTTGTAAAGAATTTTGTTTGACGTCTTGTTCTTACTGCAGCTTTCTGCCATGTGGTAGAGTTTTTGTTCATTTGTTCTAACTTTAGTACTATACCTGTTTTGACTGCACATGTAACTCCAATTCTTATCCAGCAAAGGCCATCTTAAATACGCTTTTTCACTCATGCAGGGCAGGTAAGTTTTGCTGGTGTAGAAGTTTGTATGGACCGTACTCACATAGCATTACTCATTACTCCCAGATCTGTCTCACTTCCATGGCTCATTAGCTGTTTTTACTGCAAAACACTGTTAAAACAGTATTTGACAAGAACCCACCCTTCTGTGACCTACTGTTAACCAGCAGCAGTATGATACCATAAGAAATGGTTGAAAGCAGCTGGCACTGTTGCAACTCTGGATCTTGGCCAGTGCTTCATGAATTGGTATATAATTCACATATCGAGCTCTTCCTCGTGCAAACTCCTGCTAGCTGCTACAATCTCAGCTTCAGAATTTAGGCAGCTTTTCGCAGGGAAAGTAAAAGGCTTTTCTGCCGTTGTCAGAAGAAGCGTCTAGCTTTCCTTTCTCTATTCTACTCCCCCTTTCCACCTACCCTTCCAAAAAACGCTACGGATGAATGTATGTCAAGTTTCGTATTTATCCTTGAAACCAGGAATATTGTAAAATTTTACCAAGCTGAATTGTAAGAACTCCTTTCAATGTATCCAAATATTTTTCTAGTCTTGTGCAGGAATATTCAAAACTGTGAGAACAGAAAATTACAGCAGTAAGTAGGGGTGTTATACCAGCTTTGGCTTACGGTACCAAATTATCCAATTTTTATCCAATTTGCTGCATTTGTTTTAGTGTCAATGAGTTGTTTGGGCAGCTGAGCGCGAAGCATCCCTTCCTGTGTCTGTAATTTAGGATGCAGGCC